TTCTTCATTGTCTGTCTAGGTTTCATATTAGGATCACCATAAGTCAAAAAAACGAGTTGAAGGTAACAACAATGACAACGACAAATGATTTTTTAACATCTTTGCCTGAAGAAGAAGCCGGTGGAGCTTCATGGGATCCTGAAGAAACTACCACAAGGGACACTAACAGCATTTCACTTCTAAGATACCTCTAGGTTTTAATTGTAGGAAGCACACGGTTTGCAAACTGTTTCTCCTTCTACCTGCCTCCTTCCCCAAAAATACACTTTCTCATCCTTGCATAACTAGCACTAAAAAAGAGGGTGTTATCAGCTCAGAGCTGAGAAATCATAGAAAGCATTGGTGAAGGTTGGTCAAGTTCAAAAGAGACAAGGTTTTGGCTTCCCCATGCAGCTTTTCTTTCTTGCCTCAATATGGATGGTTTCACATCTCTGTGTCCTCAGGTGCCTCTCAGTGTCTCTGGAGAGGATACACCTGACGTCAGCCTTTCAAATAACTCTTAGTAGCCAGCCTGCCCACACAAATTGGGTTGCTCATCTGCAACATATCAACTGTCTTAAAACTAAAAAAGAACAACAATTTCTTCCTGTTCCTGAATTTTCCCTTCTACTTAGACTAAAGGCATTTACAAAAAAAAACAGTGGTAATTTACTACCTGCGGGAGTTTATTGTGACATACATATTCAAAGATCAGGGACTCATTATCAGGATTTGAGGACTATTTATACAACTTCTCAATCTCTCCTCCTTTTGCTCCCTGTGCCTGCCGCTAGCAAAATCATCTATTTAGTATGTTTAGGCCATCATTATGAAGCAGAGCTGGTGGAGGGGGAGAAATCCATGCAAAAGGTGGGAGAGGCACTGCACACATCTGATGTTACCTAACAAACTGGAGAAAAAACGCACACTCCTCTCCTCCCGAAGCTTATCTCCGAAACAGTCATCTTTGCAGAAGCGGCCTTGCACTGCTTGGCAGGCGGCCAGCTGGAAACCAAAAGGGGCTTTCCTTTTCCTGCTGCTCACCCTCATTCAAGAGCTTCTTTCTCTGTACGCAATGCTATTTATAGCTGCTGGCAAGAAACCAGCCACAGTTCAACCACAGAACCACAGATATCTCTCTCACACACATACACATACACATACACAGATAGTCTGTTTATGTTATTGCCTTGTAATGAACAGCATGACACATGTATAAAGGAGATTCAAGGAGCAAAATGTCCAGAGGATATCATGTTTTTTTGTTTTCAGAGAATGATGGGGGAAGAGGAGGCAGCACACATACAACCCAACTGTTCAAATTTATATAGAGTGGGTCCTCTACATTTGCTGGGGTTAGGAGAGCAGGACCACCATGAAAGTGGGGAAAAAAACAACACAAATTTTAAAAACCACTATTTTTTTTTAACCTGAGATAACACCTCTCTAGGAATCTCTAGGTCCTCCAGCCAGCATCCGCCAGCTATTGACCACAGAATCACACTGGAGGGTCTACAAATGCCTAGAGAAGTGTTCTCTCTTAAGAATTTCTAGGTCCTCCAGCAAACACTGTGGTTGACCATAGATTCATGCTGGAGGACCTAGAAATTTCTAGAGATAACATATTGATCAAATCCACAAATAATCAAATCCACAAAAGTCAAAGCTGCAAATGTGGAGGGCTGACTGAAGGTGGGAATGCGAAAATGGATGGATATGGAGTTGTGTGCATTACCAGTTCAGCTCTGCTTTCCCCTCAGACTCCAACTCTCCAGATTTTTGAATGAGATACAGCCCTATGTTTATTAAACAAGGAATAACAAACTGGAAAGTGGGTGAGGTTCTGCAGGCTTTTCCATAAAACATCTTAACAGCCTGGTGCAACCTTTACACAACTGAGAAAAGCGGTCACACAAGTATCTCAGGTACATTTGGTGGGAGCTCAAGGGAGGGTCTTCTTGGTGGCTACTTCCACAATCTAGAATTTCTTGTTTAGGCGATCAGAGCTAATCCAGTTTATCTTTCATCGGGAGCCAAGATAGGTTTTTATTTAGAAAAGGCTTTGGCCCATATGCTGACTTGTAAAATACATTGTTATTGGTTTGAACTAGATTTTTTAAACCTATTTTATTCATTGATAGCTAGTGGCTTTCATGTCAATGGGATTGTGAATTGAATCCATTCTAAATTTTAATCTGAACTTTAAGAAAACTACACAAAATGCTGAATCTGTTTGGGAGATATGATTCAGTACCCTGGATAACACCTTTAACATTTGGACTAAAGCCCAAAATGGATTCAGGGTCCCATTAATAAGGAAGCTACCACCTGTCTCTGACTCTACTGATGTTTTATCTGCTCAATTTTTATGAGTGTTTACTTTTGCATCTTACTGCTGTCTTGTTGAATTTCTTACAATTTGTTGTGTTTGTACTATTGCTGTTACCTGCATTGAGCACCATTTGGTGGAAAGATAGAATACAAATTTAACAAATTCTGATGAATAAGAAAAAAATGGAGCAAACTATTTGATTATCCACTTTCCTTTGCAATGAAAAGGATGGTAATAGAATTGTCTGTCTGGCTGCTACCTCATGTAAAATAAATAAATGCATCTCCCTGTATATAAATGTTAGAATGGATGGGACAGAACAAGATAGAAACTGTCAACCTTATGTATAAGCTTTTAACATGCTGGGAGTTCAAACATTTAAGTCTTCCCTTCTACGACTATACTAGATAAACATGCAACCCTGCGCAACACTGCATTTTGACAGTATTAAGTCACAAGTGTGCCCTAACTTGTTGCTTCAAATTAAATTCACACTGCCTCATCCTCATCACTAGGAAAATTATGCAAAATATTCACCGTTCATTTCACAGGATTTGTAGAAATCATAAAACTTAACTTTGCTCAGTGAAAAAATTTGGGTTTCCTTTGTATGTTCACAGGACTTAAATGTAACTCTTAAAATTGCTTAGCCAACAGAGAAGTTCTGTTTCAAAACTCAAACTCCCCCTTCCCCTATTTTCTATAAAGTATAAATGCACCCAAAGAACACCTTACAAGTCATTTCCTATCGTGCACTGTAATTATCTGTTATAATAGGGAATTAAGGCTTAATTAGCTTTCAAGCTGCAGATATGATTTAATTAGCTTTCAAGCTCTGCATAGAACACCTGTCTAGGTGAAACCAAAGCTTGCTCATTCCATTTTGAAAGGAAGGTCAGACTCACAGATTTTCGACCCTCAATGTCTGTAAGCAATTGGATTTTAAACTTGAGGAAACTTTCTTTGCTGAGTTAATTAACAGCAGTTTTATGAACAGAATTACTAAAGTCAGGTGTGTATGTGTAACTACTCTACACTCCAGATAGGGAACAAAAAATATATACCTGCTGAACCTGCAAGCTGCCATGTTCTCTGGACAGCAGCGCCTGCTACTTAGTATTACAAGCTGCAGCAATGGAATGATTTACCATTAGCAGCTGAAGCAGATAATGCCCTGAATGATCCCCATACTGGCAGCAGTAGATTCCCTTGGCATACTTAAATGCCTTCTTGCAGTATGTTTGCAGGCAAGCATTGGGCAAATGTGCTCTGCTTATGTTTGCCTGCCTATACATTCAGTTGCGGTTCCTAGGATAGGATATCCATACTAGTTTTGTGCCTTTTAACAGCATCCTAATAACATAGAAATTTAGCAAGCATAGCTTTTCCAAAATAATTTGTTGACCTCATACATACGTTGAGGGAAAGTTTTGGAGTTTTGATATGACCCATGGATAAATCAAAGGTAAAAAAATAGGACATTGTAACAAAGGATTTAAATTATGAAAATAATTCCAAAGAATCTACAAAATTCCAGCAGGCATAATTGTTTGTGTTCACCCGGAAGGAAGGAAGGAAGGAAGGAAGGAAGGAAGGAAGGAAGGAAGGATGGGGAAAGAATTACAGTAAATGATGATGGTGGTGTGATGTATGGGGGAGGTGATCAGGAACAGACAGGGCTAAGAAAATGCACACATATCAAAAAGTATGTAAAGGCAAAGAAAATGCCAACTATTTTAGCAGTGATTACAGCCTTTAATTGGATGTGACAATTTTGCCAGATATTAACCCAGAAAAGCAAGCAAAAATGTTGTTGTTGTGTGCCTCCAAGTCGTTTTCTACTTAAGGCGAATCCTAAGGAAAACCTATCATGGAGTTTTCTTGGCAAGTTTGTTCAGAGGGTGTTTGCCATTACCATCCTCTAAAGGCTAAGAGAGTGTGACTTGCCCAAGGTCATCCAGTAGATTTCCATGGCTGAATGGGGATTTGAACCCTCGTCTCCAGAGTCAAAGTCCAACGCTCAAACTACTATACCATACTGGCTCATCGTATACAAACAAACGTATGCAAATGTCTTATTCAAAGCCTTCAAAGCTTGACACTTCATTGCTGGAATACCATTGCTGGAATCCCCTTCTTTGAGTAGAGTGGTTAAAGGTGAGAACTTAGTCCTTCTCAGAGAAAGAAGCACCAGCCTCCTCTACTTTCTTGATGCTCCTTTGAAGGGAAGCGATGCCACCATTTTACCACCCAAGCATTCAAAAAGGCCAGAAGTGATGCTGCAGTGGAGAGGGGATAGGTGCTTTTTTCAGGTTTTCCTTGTATGGACTATGCTCTTGCCTTCCACTACTCTAATCAGAGAAGGAAACAGTCCCGTTTTTGAACAGAGTTATGGTACATTACTTATATACTGACCTGTGAATAAGCGTTTGGATCAATTTTTTTTTACTAAAATTTCTTGACTTATATGCAAGAATACATGTACTGTAAGCTTATGCTTAATTTTAATGCTATAAGCTACCCTGATTGCTCTGCAGAGGGGTGGGACATTAATAATAATAATAATAATAATAATAATTACATGGTACTTCCCCAAACCAACACACTCTTAATTTTGCCTTTGTGTAGTTGGGGAAGCTTAAAATTTATATGTGTTCCCCTTATTAACAGAAAGTCTCAGTAACAAAAAAAGTTTCAGAAGATTCTTACTTGCAATCAGAGCTTCTTTACAATGTTTTAAAAGACAAGGAGTTGATACCATTGGCTGAACCTTCTTCCTGTCAAAAGTCCTTCTTGTAATTTAAGAGCTGCTGTTTTATCTATTTTTTAAAGAAACATAGCTTAATGAAATCATGCGTCATCCACTTGTTAGATATGCCTTGCAAAAAAACCAAAAGTGCTATTTAAAGTCCATTCATTGAAGTGAATCTTTGTGTAGTTCCCTTTTGACATGGAAGGAAAGTTTAATTTCTAACCATTTCCTACAATTGTTATCTACATGATAAAAGGTTGTCATGAGTCATGAAAAATGGCCCTTATACTGGCTTTCAACCATATTGAAACTGAAGGAAAGTGGTCCACAGAAGCCCCAAGAGGAAAATGAAATATATAGAGAAAAAAGGTAAGAGCTCCAAGCCCCAATACAGTCTCATTGACACTACCCAGCACCACTTGGCTAGCAACCAATACAAAGCAAATGTTACTCACACCAAAGACATACCATACTGCAAAGGGCATCAGAAATTATATATCAGAGTATATCAGAAATTAATGTTGCTCTTGTCTGACTCTCCATTCTGAAGCCTTTCTCTGAAACCACAGGGACATTTCTGTATAAATTTCTGATGGCAAATCCTGCATTAGATAAAATGCATGCTGCTTTCTCATCTAAATGATGGTTATAGTGATCTGCAACAGTAATATCCACACTATTAGAAAATTTATTTTAAAAGTTTTTCTATAGAAAGTATTTTAGATGAAAAGTATAAGTTAACAATTATATTTTAGAAAAGAAAGTCTGAATCAGACTTCCTAAACCACCTAGAGCAGCAAAACAAACATCTTCACTATTAGGAGGAATAGCTAATACCCCAGAGAACAGGATCAAAATTTAAAGTGACCTTAATAGATTAGAAAGCTGGGCAAAAACTAGCAAAATGAATTTCAACAGGGAGAAGTGTAAGGTACTACACTTAGGGCGAAAAAATGAAATTCACAACTATAGGATGGATGACACCTGGCTTGACAATAGTACATGTAAAAGAGATCTGGGAGTCTAATACACCAAAGATTGAACCTAAGTCAACAGTGTGATGGGGCAGCTTAAAAATTGTTTTTGTATTTTTAGATTGTACGCCTTTGGCAGGTTTTTATTTATTTTAATGCTTTGATTATTTCTTTGTACAGCGCTGTGTACATTGACAGCGCTTTAGAAATAACAACAACAAAAGTCAAGATGATTCTAGGCTACATCAATAGAAGTATAGTGTCTAGATTGAGGAAAGTAATTGTGCCATTCTATTCTACTTTGGTTAGACCCCGCCTGGAATATTGTGTCCAGTTCTGGGAACCACAATTCAAAACCTATGTTGACAAGTTGGAACATGTTCAGAGAAGGGCAACCAAACTGGTGAAAGGTCAGGAAACCATACCCTATGAAAAGCAACTTAGGGAGCTGGGTATGTTTAGCCTGGAGAAGAGAAGGTTAAGAGGTGATATGATAGGCCTGATTAAATATTTGTGGGGATGTCATACCGAAGATGGACCAAGTTTGTTTTCTGCAGCTCTAGAGAATAGGACCTGGAGCAATGGGTTCCAAGTACAGGAAAAGAGATTCCACTAATGCTCCATTAGGAAGAACATCCTGACAGTAAGAGCTGTTTGACAGTGGAACATACTCCCTTGGAGAGTGGTGGAGTCTCCTTCTTTGGAGGTTTTTAAACAGAAGCTGAATGACCATCTGTGGGCATGCTTTGATTGCTCTGGCTCGAAGGGATGGTTTTATCTGCCCCTCCCTGATGCTGCTACTATATGTTTATTTATTGTTGTGTCTATTGAATTCTATTTTTTATTTTATTTTTTTAAATAGTTTAATTTAGTTTTAAGGGGTGGGAGGGTTGGATTTTGGATAAGGAATGTTTTAAAATGTATGTTTTTATTATTGCTGTTCCCCGCCTCGATTGCAATGCAGAATGGCGGGTTATAAATAAAATTTATTGTTGTTGTTGTTGTTGTTATTATTATTATTATTATTATTATTATTATTATTATTCCTGCATGCCAGGGTTTGGGCACCTTAACCAGCTGTTGCCCTTATTGTTGTTTTGCTTACTTATGCAGTATTTATCATTCTTTGAGGGACTAAGTGGGGAAAACACCAAATTATCAGCCCTGTATGAAGCATAGAAATAATAACGAGCCTGTTTTACTTATCCAGTGTTGAGAAATGCAAATGTTGCTATTGCAACACAAAAAAAGTACAGCCACATCCCTAGGGTTGGTGTCACCTGCCCATTGACCTCCCATTTCACACCATACAGAATCCTTAGTAATGCTTTTTTACACTAATGTTACTCGTAAATTGTAATTCCCTTATACCACTGACATAAACAACTAGCAAAATTAAAATTACACCTTCAAATTCCAATACCACATGCACAACCTAAATATATTTACATATACCATATTTTCCGGCGTATAAGACGACTGGGCGTATAAGATGACCTCCCACTTTTCCAGTTAAAATATAGAGTTTGGGAAGAGTATGACTTCCAAAACTGTTGTTGTTGTTGCTGTGCACCTTCAAGTCATTTCCAACTGATGATGACACTAAGGAAAACCTACCATGAACCTCCTTATACCCGGCATATAAGACGACCCCCCCACTTTAACCCCAGATTTTGCAGGTTAAAAAGTAGTCTTATACGCCAGAAAATAAGGTACATAGTGAAGATTTGGTTGAAATGTGATGTTTTTAAAGAAAATTTTAAAAGAATTTTAAAAATTTCTGGGGCCTTTCCTTTCTCCTCCCACTGATCTTTGCCCCACTCCCAGCATCTCTTAAAGCATTTTAAAGCGAAGCAGATGAATGCCACAGCCCGTTTCTGCCAAAAGGTAGGTGTTTAAGGAGCCTGTCACACATACCCCCTAGTCCGCACCCCCCCCACACACACATGCACACACACCCCTAGTGACACCACTGGATACAGCCTCTATGTCACACACCACCACCAAAAAAAGGGCAAAAAACGGATTAAAAGAAAAAGAAAAATTATGTCCAACATTAGGACTTAGCAATCTTATGGGGATTCTTTTGCTATTTTCCTATCCTCATAACAGAGTTATAAAAGACTGAACAATGAAACAAACAAAATACATTTGTGCATATAAAGTTATTGTTGTTGTTGTTATTTCTAAAGCGCTGTCAATGTACACAGCGCTGTACAAAGAGATAATCAAAGCATTAAAATAAATAAAAACCTGCCAAAGGCGTACAATCTAAAAATACAAAAACAATAGGTAAAATAAAAATTAATTAAAAGCAGGGAACAATTAAAAACAAAACCTATGAGACAACGTGCCATTGATACCCAATATCCTAAAATATCTAAGCAAGAGAAACATGGATTTCCATTATGCAGGGTTGCTCCTTAAAAGCCACTTAAAGGAAGGGCTTCAGATTTATACATCCACTCACGAAAGCCAAGCAAAGGGAAGTACCGTAGTATTAAGTTCTTTTAAAAATATGGTTGAGAGTATGCTAGCTGCATGATGAAAGCAAGCAGGTGATTCATTACAGATAAAGGGAGGAGGAAGGAAGGGACTCCAAAATCCAGGACACATTACTGAAATGACAGCTCTATCCATGTGTCTGCTGGTAGGGTGCATTTAAATTAAAATGCCTATTTTTAGAACTGTGCAGCACACAGCAAGGCATAAATAGAATGAATGAATGAATGAATGAATGTTCTACCACTCTTCAAGCTAACACCTGTGCAGGCTTTCATAATGCCCTGCAATGAATTAATGGGTACAAAATCTCTGTAATGGAACATAATGTAGGATTTTCTACCTTCAGTGCAGCCATGTGTCACCCTTTCTAAGTCTGACAGATCTAAAACCGCCGCTATGTTAGAAGTGTCCAGAGCCTGCAATGTTAATCTTTGATATGCTAAAAATCTAATTCAATTACATTCACACTGAAAGGGGGATCTTTTTAAAAGGTAAGTTGCTTTATATTGGCATTTAAATGGATGTTGCATTACTACACTAAAAGCCTTACCAGAATGAAACTGAAAAAACACATCCATGATTTTATTTTCCCCTGTATTTGATTTAACCTCTAGAAAGAAGCAACTGTATGAAGTTTTGAAAAATCCAGTTTTCACCAACCCCACCAAAAAAAACTTGAACATTCCCACTTCCACAAGTCACCATCAGAGACCCTCTTGGGTATTCCAGGAATCTTGGTGGTCCATTTAATCCAAGAATGGGAAATGTGATCCTCCAAATGTTGTCGAACATCTCAGCAGCCCTAGTCAATG